TGTGTGTGTGTGTGTGTGTGTGTGTGTGTGTGTGTGTGTGTGTGTGTGTGCACCACCCATAACTGGTGCTGTGATGCTCTAAGGCCCACGCAGCCAGGAAAAGGCCTCAGCCAGGTAACTTGGCCGGTTGGCCTTAAACCGCAGCCTTGACTGGGCCATCTGCCTCACCCGGTAGGGAAGGGTGCTGATAGGCAGTCCCTACCGGGCACAGCCGAGACTTCAGCCTGCCAAAGACAGAAGAGGAGACCAAGGCATGGCAAGCATGCTTGGTGAGAGTGCTGCTGGCTGTCTAGGCACGGCTATTGCAAGCAGCACTAGCATTGCACTGACAGTAAGAGCACCATAGCTTGGCAGGTGCCGCACCCTGACAAGCAAGGGCGGTGAGGGGGAAGAGAAGGTCCTTGGGAGTGAGGGAGGCCATGGGAGAAGAGGATACTTACCTGGTGGTTGGTGGCAGAGCTACTCTCTTGCGGCCACCCGTATGAGAGAGCAGAGAGCTTGTCGAGAGTAGATAAATACTCTAGAGTACGGGTGTAGGTGGATATACCTGAGTTGAGGGCTACTACTGTGTCGTTGTATTGATTGAGTGGAGGCCAGAAGAGGGCTTTCATTATCAAGAGACTTCAGTGTTGTGTTCTTGCATTGCCGTGATCAGGGCTTTGCCAATTCTGATTTCAATTTGGTCCAGTCAGGGCATACTCACACAAGCACTTTCCTAAATGTATCTGACTGCAATTCCGGCCAGACCTGCATGAGTCCGACCGCAATCACATCCAGAACTTCATAGAAAAAGTCCTCGTGTGAGTGCACGCCCTCATGCTTGCTCTTTCACAACTGCATGTTGCTCAGGAATTGTGGTTCCTTGCAGTGCCATCGAAGTAATTGCCGCATGAGCAGCCAAGTGAAATTCTCTACATCCGTGGCCATTTTATTAGATGTGCGCTGCTGTGGACACGGCCATGTGTGCATTGAATGGAAGTAGGCCACACACTCAACCATTTTTCTACGTACTGGCCAAGCGGTGCGAGTGAAATGGACATGCAAGTAGGTCATTTCTCTTGGCCATTGCTGGGCTGGTAGTGACTCATCTCTGCTATTGAAATGGGTGTGCGTTAAGCCCTTTTTTTTTCCGACCTCTGAAAGGAAAGATTCGGGAGTCTGTACCGGGTATGCTGACCCCCCATGTTTTACATGGGTGACACTGGGCATGGATTCATTGTGAGCCCATGCAATGGGGGGCAGCCAACCTTAAAAAAAGCTGTGATCAGAAAACGAATTGGCCCGACCCGAAAAAACAAAAAGGGGCATACTCAAAGTCAGACTTCACTGTATGCATGTGGCCACATTCTCTGCCACATTCAGATGGGAAAGTGTTAGATGAGTGTGGGAAGTAAAGGAACATACCCAGAAAGAGAAGGAAACGAAGTAGAAATCAAATTGTAAGACTTCCATGTTCCCCACATCTATGTGCTTGAGTGGGAAGTGCCCACACACCCATCGGGCTTGATGCACGCTTGTTTCGTATAAGTTCGACTTGATAGACACTCACCCAGATGGGGCACGCCTGCTCCAGGTGAAACGAACATGAGACTGTTATCTCCCATAGCACCGGGCAACTACATAACAATATCGTGAAAATGCTGCACGAACCCGAATATATAAAACAGAAAGCCCTCGGCCTTCATACTGAACCAATTTGAGCCCAGTATCCTAGCAAGAATAGCAATATTCATGAGGGGCAACAAACCGCCCAAAAATTAAAAGTATACATAAATAAAATACTATTAAAAGTTGATAAAAGTTCATAAAACTAATTAAACTTCACGGAGTCGGCAGCTTGCCTAAGGTCATAGACCCCTCATATGACACCAGCACCTCTACTAAAGCACCCTGGCAACTCCCCTTATCTCCATTGTTTGCTGTGCTCTTGCAGGTATGATTACCGGTTTGATGAGGAGGACCAGAATAAAGTCCCATGCCGGTGCGGAGCGCGCAACTGTCGTCAGTTCATGAACTAGTTGGTGATTGCTTTTTGTTTCTGCAATATGGCGCCGCCTGACGGCCTGCTATGTGAACTGCCTGCTAGGTCTTGTGTGTGGCTGGAATCTTCATGCAGCCGGAACAGGGCAAAATGAATGCACATATATAGCAGCCGCTGTGACCAATGGAGGCTTCAATTGGTTTAAAATTCTGAAGTTAAAAAGGGCCTCTTCAAGTTCTTTTTATCCTATCTTGTTTGTTTATTGAATTCTTAATTCACAGGTAGGTACAATGTATAGCGTACGTCCAGCCATGCAGAAGGCTGTGGAGTGTGATGTACACATACACATACGGAACCTGCAGTTGTCACTGGAGGCTTGAGCTCCCAACTTCTGAAGTTCGAAGAGGCTCTTCAGGTTCATTTCATCCTATGTTGTTAGCAAATCTTGAAGGGACAGGCCAGTTCAATGTACGCATTGCACGACATACATTCAACCCATGCAGAAGGCTTAAGAGTGCGGGGATGGGAGATCAGAAGGGTGATTCACATACCCAGCCCATATGGCTGAATGGTACACACATGTAACTTTTAATAATCAGGTCATGAGTTCGAACCCCGATTCAATCGAGCGGATGCCATGAGGTTAGGGCGTACCTCCTTGGAAGGAAAAACGAAAACAAGAAAAGGGCCCATCACATCACATTCATTTGTCATCCGATAACATGCATCCGCGATGATTTTGATGACATGCTAACCGCCCGCGAAATGCAATAGCCTGGCATTTGTGAGAGGGAACGGAGTTGATTTTACCTGTGTGGGAACGACTGCATCATAAGATATTCTTGATTCTATGGTCGTCAACAGCTTCAGGGATGCATTGATGCCCTCAGCGGAGTGAAGTAAGGAGATATAGTTGTGAGTGTGACAGCTTTCGGAGTTGATTTCTGCGGCAGGGTTATATATCCTTAGCATGGCACTCCGGGCGCTGTCTGCAACAAGCAAGTTGCATGTGGCAGTCTGTCAAGGTCTTTGGCATCACAGCAGGCAGGAGTCAATGTCCACCTCTCATAGGGCATCAACAATGTTCCCCCCAGGGTTTCAAACCTTCGACCATTTGCATCCCTTCCCAAAATCCTCTGAGCTGATGATGTACTGGGGAACTTGTAATAGCATTCTGTGCGTTTTGTCTGTTTCTTGTCGTTCATTCGCCTCAGACCAATATAGAGGTTCCTGTTCTCTGAATGAATCTGGGGATGCACGGCAGGATAGATAGGTGCACAGCTGACTGGCTGGGTGGCTAGCTGGCTGATCAGATGGATGGATAGACGGCTTGGTGGATGGATTTTGCACCATGACGTTTGCGAAGATGGCTCTTATTAGCGTTATGCAGAAATGGCCAGCATGTTATATGTTAGACTCATCTACCCTCTTTTTCTGATTTTTGGAGGTGCGATGGCATGTTATTTGTTCAAGGGGCAAGCGACAGACTTCTGGCGCAAATTTTCTGCATCATATGGGGAGCATACAGTAGACTGGTAGGTGTGCTATCCATTGGATACGTTGTGTTGATACCAAGAAGGAAAACACAACCTAGTAAATATTTTAGCAACAGTGGCAACACTTGCTCAGGGTGTCTCCTGATGGAGTAGCATAAGGCGCAAGCCGTTTTGTTTTTGGTCGACGCTGGTCAAATACAACGGCCCTTTAGGCCCCAAATTTCCCATATATAATGTACTAAAGTCCAGAGATTCGACTGGTCCACCGGTTGCACCATATGCTCTCATCTTCAGATTCTTCACGTTATCTGCCATGTATTTGTAGCCGCCGCGCTTCAATCTGCCACTCGATACTCGCTGATTGGATTGTTGGCATAAGGGGAAGTAGAGGAGGAGGCAGCAGCAGCAGGTGTACATCAGGAGTAGAAGAACAGAGTGGAGGGGAAATGTGAGAGATGTCTTCATCCCTATTAGAGAGGAGATGTGTTCATCTCTATTTGACTATCTTCTATGCAGCAGGTAGATGATCGCTTTCCCTGCAAGTGAGGACTATGATGATTTATCATCCCTACAGGCGGATGATGATTTATCATCCCTACAGGCGGATGACTTTCCTGCACAGGGAATCATCCTTTTCAGAGGAAGTCCGGGCTGTGCCATCGATCCCGGTTCATGATGGCTGTGAGCTCCGCTCTCCATGCCTTTGCACCGAGTTTGCGGTTTTGACTTGCTCAGCGATGCATGGATGGCATGCTGCCATGCTCAACTTGTCGCGCCAGATTGGCAGCATCTGGCTTGCAGCCTATTGCCAACTGCGGTGAGGAGCATAGCCCTTGGTACATTTGTGCTTTGCCCTGCACTTTGTTGTGGATTAGAATATGCGTGAGAGAAAGGGGTGACAAGAGAGAGAGGGGTGAAGAGAGAGACAACTGATATGAACAATGCTTTTGGAAGGTTCTCTAGTTTCATCATGTAATGACGTGTATTTTGTTCTGGCTATGCAAAAGAGTAGGAAGAGGGAGGGGGGGAGGGGGGGGTTCTGAAGGAGAGATTTTAGCATGGCCAACCGCCCCCCACCTTACAACTGTCAAACTTCATTGGTCGTCTGTTGTGCTTCGTAAGGTTTTTGTTCAGGGCAATTACCTGAGAGTGTGCACGTATGTCAGTTATGGAGGCTAAGGAAGCCCACAGAGCATGAGAAGGTGCTTGAAACTCATTGACAATAGGTAACCCAGGGTTGACATTGCCTGGATGAGAATTGGCACCCTCAGAGAACAGACGCCCTCATGGAAAACATCACTGTTCTCTCTTTGCTGTTTCCGTTGTTCTCCGTTCTTCCCTCTCTTCCCGTCCCCTTCGTACGAGTCAGCCAGTGCTCCGATGCACATGCAGTATTCCATAAGTGGGGAAAAAAAGTGCTTCAGGATAGTTCCCTTGGTGCCTCCGTCTATTCATGATGCCTGTGAACTCCGCGGTCCATGCCTTTGCGCTGAGTTTGTGGTTGTGCCTTGCTGGGTGATGCACAGATGGCATGCTCCACTGATAGTTTTTCAATGTTCCAGTGTGCAAAGCCGCACCAGTTTCGCAGTGCCTGGGTTGCAGCGTACTGCCAACTGCGATCAGGTGCAGTGCCCTTGCTATACTCTGTGCTTTGCTGTGCACGTTTCTTTGTAATGGATTAGTGTGTTTGTGTGTGTGTGTGTGTGTGTGTGTGTGTGTGTG